CTATTTGCCAGGAACTGATGGGTCCAGATGCCATGATCTTAGTTTTTTTAATGTTGAGTTCAAATCTCTCTGTACATGTACACAAACAAGATCCCTTCTGCCATTTTATACATAAATAAAATGTGTAAATCTCATTTAGATTTAATAGACATTCTACTTTAAGAGAAACCACTTCCCCCCTCAATCTGTTAAGTCAAGAGTTTTATGCACTACATTAATTCTTGTGTTTGCATCATTTCAATGTTAATCTGTCCATATCTTTAAAGTTGATTTAAAATTAATGTGTTTATTACATCTGAAGTGTTATGATTTTAAATTTCCCAAAGGGGTGAGCGCTTTTCCGGTAGTATACCCTAGTTACAGAATTCTCCTTTATGTGGGAAGCATGACTGGTTTCAATTTTGCTGCCTTTTAGGTACCATACAATATCTTAACTGAAATAGTTTTGGATCAAGTCCATCCAAAGAAGTGAACAAAATATAAATAAGATAATAAATATTTAGCATTTAAAACCCACATGCGTGGGGGATAACAGTACATACAGTATAGTTCAGCTAGTATTAAAATATTACTAATGTTCATTCACCAAAATATTCAAAAGCAAAAATAATACATTTTTATTGCTCTCTTAATTAAACCTTCTAATTGATTTTGCTGATTGTTTCATTTATAACATCATTTTATCCGCCTATCCTCTTCAGAAAATGATGACACTTAACATAATGCTTAATTGAGAAAAACTATTATATTATATATATACAGTGGTACCTCGGGATACGAACTTAATCCGTTCCGTGACTCTGGGCGTATCCCGAGTTGGTCGTAACCCGAAAAATTCGCAAGCAGAGGCGTTCATATCCCGAGGTATCACTGTATTTGGAAGGGATAAGCCTCCTCTCAATAAACTCTTAGTTAATAAGGTGGTTTATTTTTGCACACATTAATAAATATTCTACTACTTTCTTTTAGGATTAGAGTGCTATCCTAAATAGAATCATCTTTAAAAAAAAATAATGAACCTGTTGAAAACCTGCTTCTTTTGTTAAGAGGTTTATAACACACCTATAACACAAATGTGTCCCAGATGTTTTTAATGAGAACTCCAAAACTAACATTCATACATTTTTCTATGCAGTATGAGAAGGCCCTTCTAAGAGGTTATGTTGAATGCTGTTCAAACCTGACTTGGTGCACCAACCCTCAGGGCTGTGATCAGATTCTCTGCAAGGAAGGCCTTGGCTGTGGAGAAGCGTGTTCAAAGTGCTCTTGGATCTCCTGCTTCAGCTGCAATTTTCCTGAAGTAAGGTTAACATGAAGCTTGGAGGCTGGGTGCTCTCTGTTTTTAGGACTATTTACCTAGCTTAGTCTCTGGATTCCTCACAGGCTCACTATCCTGCCAGCTGCAGTCACATGTCTCAGTGGATGGATGATGGTGGTTTCTATGAAGGAATGACTGTGGAAGCCCAGAGCAAGCACCTGGCCAAACTCATATCCAAACGCTGCCCAAGCTGCCAAGCTCAGATAGAGAAAAATGAAGGCTGTCTGCAGTAAGTATGTTTTTGAGTACATTTTGGTACAAAATGTATATAAATATATATATATACAAGCACATTTCAGTAGTTCGTGGCTTGTTTGACAGATTGGATTATTTGTAGTCATGGAAGAGTGCTGATCTAATCTATTCTGCCTTCCCTCTCAAAGACACAGTTGATTTGTGTCTTCCTCACTCTTGAGGCAAGAGGCTGCAGGACAAAGTAACAACATATTTAAGGGGCTTTCCTCATCCTGGTGCACTTTAAATATGTTGGGAATGCCATACCTAAACCACTCTGCTGTTTTTTGGCATTTTCCTTAAGTAATTTGGATAGTATCAATCCTATCTCCTTTGTCAGTTAAGGAAGAACAATTCAGCATTCTTCTACCCATTTTAATTATGTGTTGATGTATGGATGTTATTTGTTGTTATTGCTAACATTCCTTTGAAAAGTTAAAAGTGGAAAGCTAGATTTGATGGAGAGAGCATATAGGTACTCACCAGGCTTACACATTGATTTTCAGTGCATGGGCAATGTGGGATCAACATTTGCGACCATAGTCGCTCTTCATGAAATCTTAGTCACATAGGGAATACCATCCAAATAGAGCTTAAGGAATGTCTGTATATCATTTTATTTGGTGTGATTGGATGTGATTCCACAGAAAGAGCATCACCCAAATCTTACTATTTATCATGTTTTGAAAGAAAAAGCATTCTCTAGCATTTGCTTTTATGTTTATCGTTAGAGCAGTGTTTCTTCCCTTTACCTTTTTAATACTGTGGTGCCACTCTGTATGGCTTTCCATGTTTTATTTATTTATTTATTTGGTCAATTTATATGGCCGCTCATCTCACATACTTGACTCTGAGCGGTGTGCAAAGTTAAAAACACAGAACAATACAACAAAATAACAAAAAACATAACAGCAAAAATCATTAAAAAATGTTAAAAACAATAAAAAAACATTAGAAACTTTCACCCCAGCCCCATGATCTGCAGGAGAGCATGCCCAATTTCCTAGCAATATAGCCACTTTGCAAGCCCCATACCCATGTTACCAGATCCCCAGGCGCGATGGCAAAGCTGTGTCTCCAGGGCCCTCTGGAAGGCCAATAGGGTCAGGGCCAATCTGACCTCAGGGGGAAGGATGTTCCAAAGGGCAACTGCTGTGGCAGAAAAGGCTCTCCTCCTGGGTCCCATCAGATGACATTCCTTTGTGGATGGGACCCAGGGCATGCCCTGCCCTTCCTGCTGGACCTGATGGGATGGGTAGATGTGATGGGGATAGGTGGTCCCTCAAATAATCCAGCACTATTGTGTTTACACTGTCCATATAACCTTTGTGTATCGTATCCTTATTCCTAGTCAGCAACCTTTTTGTCCCATATTTCTTTTGCTTTCTGAATGCTATTCAGAATGTATTTATTGTTTTGAAAATTCAAAAGTAGCATTTTCAAATGCTAGCAGAAATATTTGAAGTTTGGTAGTCAGAAATAAAAGTGAACAATTTATACTGAAATACATTTGGCAGCATGCTGTAAACATTGCTTGAAAAGTGTTTATCAATTTATCAGTTGTCCGGTCTTTGTAGTAAATTTTTGGAACAGAAATACAGGTTTAGGTAGTGGGCCAGTATAGATTGGAATTCAGTGAGTGTGTAATTAGAGATAAAGTGCAGTAGTCCCAGCAGGCTTTTAACCCATGGAGACTGGGTAATTGTCAACAGGAAGGATTAATGTAAAATAATAATAATAATTAGATTGATAATTGTGGATTTCATCAGAATTGTTGACATGGAACTATGTTTTCCTGAAATACTGAAAGTAGGTTAGCTCTCCCCACTTGGAGTTGTTTTGCTTTTAGTATGAACTATAAGTTATTCTTAGCTACTGTCTAAATACTGGTGATTTGGTTATAATTTTCACTCATTAGCATGTACTTACCCAAAACAACCCTAGACTTACTTTTGCTGTTCACTATTTCACATTAATGATCTTAAGAATGAAGTTGCTGGCCACATCTTGAACTAATTGCTCTCATTCCTGTTATATGCAGTATGACTTGTGCCAAATGCAATCATGGATTTTGTTGGCGCTGCCTGAAACCTTGGAAACCAACCCATAAGGACTATTACAATTGCTCTGCCATGGTGAGTGTATATGCAAAAGACAAGAAACTTTTCTGATAGAGGAACATTCTTTTCTAAGGAAGTATAAGTAGTATGATCTCTTTAGCGTAAGCAAGTCAAGGTATTTTTTATTTATCCAGGCATTTGGTAGATAGCATTGCTTCTGGTTTTTTTATAGTTATATAGTTACTTCTTTATTGGCTGGCTGGCTTGCTTACTGGGCTTTTATGCTGTTTGGATAATTACTAACTGTTGTGTTTTAAAAGTATAATTACAGTACATCTGTAATTTTGGGGGTTTTTTTTCCAGTGTACGTATAGCATCCACTTTGTATGAAGTGCAGTCTAAGAAATTTTAAAATAAATAATGCTTGCTGTTACTTTGGGTAACTGCATTCCGTTTCTCTCCTTCAGGTAAGCAAAGCAGCGCGACAGGAAAAGCGTTTCCAAGACTATAATGAAAGGTGCATTTTTCATCATCAAGCAAGGGTGAGGATCACTATTCTTTAGTTGAACCTGCATCTTAACAACATACTTCTATGCATTGGTCATCTTAGAATGTTTAGCTATAAACAATTCTAGTCACTGAGAGCAGTAATATGTCATCACCTTATCCAGTGAAAAGGCAATTTAGAAAGATCGATTGCTTTGCTTCAAACCGATAAACTGAAATTAAACCTTATTACTAGAAGAGAAAATGCCTTTCCACATAGTTTTTGCATTTTAGCAGGAAAGTAGGGCTCTTGCCATTTTTCATTTTGTTGTAAATACTCTGCAAGTAACCCTCCCCTCCTTTGTTTTATTGAATATTACTCTAGAAGTTTTAAATAAAAGGACCATAGATACTTTTCTGGAGTAATGTAGTAAGTAAGGGTAGATATCAGGAAAACTGATGTAGTTCTCTTCTATTTCAGGAATTTGCTATGAACTTACGAAATAGAGTTTCTACTGTCAGTGATATGCCACAGATTCGGACATTGACATTTGTTGTTGATGCCTGCAAAGTGCTGGAACAGGCACGAAAAGTAAGTCCCATCTCTCAGTGTATGCTACTTTTTTCTCTGGCATTGTCCTCTTCTTTTCAATTCTGCTTTTTTATTTTATGCTTTTTATGGCACCACAAAGGGAGTAGAAAGTATAAAAGAGGATATCCAGAACATGTGCTTAGAACTGTATTTGATGGTCAGCAGGTGAATGAAAGAGTGGAAGTAAAAGGATTTTTAAAAAACATTGGAATGGGGGAATAGTGTAAAATTAAGAGGCTAAAATGTTATTGCAACATGACATTTTAATTCATTAGAATGCAGAATAATAAGGTATGTAGACACTTTCATTCTATTCAAAGACAAAATAATATTTTGTCAAATTTACATGCAAAGTATAGTAATCATGATTGTGTCCTGATTTATTCTGAAACAATTCAGCCCTGGCTTTGATCTGAGATATGATTTTCTCTCTTAATTCTTTCAAGATCATTTCTCTGCAAACTTCTAAATCCATCCTTCCTTCCTTCCTTCCTTCCTTCCTTCCTTCCTTCCTTCCTTCCTTCC